ACCATATCAAAAGCCCCTCCCTTCTAACTGTCCATCCCATGTTTACTTGTGCATGCGTTTTATCTGGTCCGAATTAAAACGTGTCTGTGTTCCAATTTGCTAAGTTCTATCGAATACAAAGCAAAATATTTCAAGTTTCATTTTATCATAGCAGTTAGGAAAGATGTAGAAATCTGAGCATGCGTATTATAAGTTTTTAATAATATTTAAATATGCGCCAAATTTATTTACCATAATTCATCGTCGAAACACATTAATGTGACGGTACATATAACGTTTTATGAAAATTGTAAAAATAATAAATATCGTTATGTGATTAGAAATCGCGTCCATGTTAAAAAATTAATTTGCGAACCAATTCATTTTAAATGTTTAATTACCTCGCACAAACAGAAAAAGGTATACTCTCGCGAATTTAAATTCATTTGCAGTAAGCCTGCTCCGATAATATTATGCAATGTGTGTTGTGTATATGGTCAGTGTATATGGTCATCTAAATAACTTCAAGCACTAAAATACTTCATAAAAGTTCAAGCATTATTAAAAATTGAGAAGAAGCTTCTTTAACTTAAATAACTCATGTAACGGCTGTGTTGTGCAGTTTACTAGTTATAATGTTGGCAACTGCAAGCAGAACATAATTGTAATGGCCTTTATTTTTAACAAAATGGCCGACCAGCGAACCTTATAAGGGTAACTACTATATTACTGGTACGGCGACATGAGGTCGCTTTAAAACCATACCCATAAACAAATGTTAATGTTTTAGATCCACAAAGTCTCCAATACAATTATGATATAATTTAAATCATACAAAAGTATAGCATCAAAAATAATATACCTCTGGATAAATTACAGAGCAAGTTAAGTCAGATAAACTTTTTTTACGAAATGAGTTGGATCAGTCTTGATACAAAAATAAAATAAAATATGTCCAATTCTAATACCCCGCTCAATTTAGTTGTCATTGGTACACATTTATGGAGTTAGAAATTGAAAAAAAAATACCTTGCATGTGGTATTACTAAAAGTAGAAACGAAATAGAAACGGAACGCTGACGCCAGGTTAAAACATCAGCTCACATTAATGGGTAACCAGTGATCCTCTGTGAGCATTTTAGCTCGTCTGTAACAGGAATGATGCCTCGTAGACGTACTTAAATGTGTCTTATCAATCTTATAGATAGAACTCGTTTTTGTCCAGAAATCAAAACAAGCATGGGTTTCAAATCGTTTAAATCCATTTCGCCATTGTAACGTGACGCCGTTATACCGCCCTCCGACGGTTGTCTTTGTTCACCATAATGGGTTGTTTGGTTCATGTTTTCGGCAAACAAATGGTAAAATAATGATTATTATAAAACAGTGTATGCATATAAAGTGCACTGAACAGAAAATGATCATTTTTTATAGAAATATTTGTAATTTTCAGTGCGTGTCACTTTAACTAAAACCTCTGGGCGATACTAACACAACAGTATCTATTTTCAATATATTTTTAGTTAGTTGATATTCATAAGATTGGTAATATGTTGCAAATTCACCTTTATTTCCCAACACGTGGCCAGCTACATCGATTTAATATTTTCCCATCACGGAATTCGTCTGTTTTGGCTCTCAGCAATGTTCTGCTGACGACTGCTAATGTTGTAATCGTGAACCGTCGGCACTTTCCGTAAACGAGAACATATTTTCTCCTCTACGGAAAGTATTAATGATAATAAACAACATTTGATATAGCGCCCTGTCTATCTAGAATAAGCCAATCTAGAGCGCTTTACGGTGCATAGATAATCAATACAATAAGCATATACATTAATCAATACAATTTTGAGGAATTCGCAGGAGCTGCCTTATCAGGCGCTAACTACTAGTCCTATGCCACCCGGCTAATATCTCCCTATGTGTGCATATGCCTGCGTGTGTGCGGGAGCTGTATTGTGTTCTGTTTGTAGTGGGACCGTGGTTCCAACGGTATCATTTATAGTGCCACCTCACTTGAATTCTACAGCACAGATACCGCAGCATCCACCCAAGACAATGTTATATTCCACCTTGGTTGTTGGAGTTGTGTGGGCAGGAGAAAAACACTTCTTCTGAATATTCCATGCGTACGACGACTTCGGGGATCGAACCCCCGACCGCCTGCTTGGAAGGCCGGTGTGTTAGCCCATGAGTGAAGTAAAGCGAGTACCGGAGTCCTTCGTTCTTGAACAGTAAAACCATTTTAGATATAGGAACGAAACGTTTGAGCCTACACTGCTATCAGCAAGTTTCAAGGGAAGAATTGTCGCCGTCTTTTGTGGCCATACTTTGAAAGCATACAGTTTCCTTCAACAGTTTTCCAAGCGGATATTTCCATTATTTGTGATAAAAGGCGTCCAAGGAAATCCTAATCGAAGCTTATTAACGTTGCCGTCGTCGGTCTCATATGTCATTCGGGAACCGTCGGCGCTTTCCTTATACGAGAAAAACTATCGAAACTTTGGCAATGGTTCTGGATTGTACCCTATCTCTGCACTCGTTGCATGCGTGTCATTTTGATACTAAAAGGTTTCAAACGACAAAGTCAACTTTTCAAACGTTTTTGAGGGGAAAACTTGTCTAAGCCAATTATGGCGTAATTCAATTTCAGAAGAAAACAAATGGTTTCTTTATGGACGAACTTCAAGTAAACCTACGTCGGTTGGAATGAAATATACATATATATCTACATCACCTTAGTTTTTGTAGGCAACATGCTTCCAGGTGCTTACAATCCATGCCAAAGTTTGTCAATGATTTTTTGTAGAACATTATTTTGTTACAAGGTAAATGTATCTATATACTTGCTGGGTATATTTGTAACATTTACAATGACCCACAACGTTTCTCGTTGTTTAGAACATAACACCGACTTCAAAATTGAGCATCTAATTTAAAATAATTGAGCATCAACTTTGAACATTTCTAGATCGTCATATACTTCTGCATCGTAGATAAATATCTAATTTTGTTCATCAAATGTAGATATCATTAATTTAAAAAAGTCGTTCGTCAGCCCTCACACTTATAAATGTTCATTGTCTGTTAACAATCCCTGACTTAATGAAATCTTGTACTTGTTTTTTTTTAAATCTCATGTCTAATGACAGTCCATTTGATTACGTATGAAATCATTGTAAAATGAAAGCCTAATCTTTTAACTATGACATCAAAATCAAAATCAAATCGTATGGTTAAAATGAGATGATTGATGATTCGTCAATTAAAAATACTCTGCTTGTTGCGTTTGACATTACTCGGTGGTTTCTGTAAAATCTAAGCCAATTTATTGTCAATTAACCGATTTATTTCTCAACAAAATACTGTTTAAAGTAATGGTGACAGTAATTACACGCTTCACTAATTGGTATAGTATGTAGTGTCCAGAAAACACGGCATCAGGTCCGATATAAATGTTTTTAAAGACAGAAAATTATTAAATAAAAAAAGAAACAGATGGAGGAAAAATATGTTGTTCGGTGTTGATGGTAAATTATGCTGGTTCGTTTTGTTGTTTGGTGTGCATCATACTCAGTGTTATCACGCCAATCTTGCTGGCTAAGCAGTGATACAAGATGTTATTATAAGTTTAAAACCGTATGTGACTGAGAGTAATAAAAATATTTTCTTTTACCATAAGGAATATATGTGGGTTTCTACGTGGTAAATGTTCGTAGTACCTTTATATTCAGAGCGTAATTGTGTGTGATTGACTGCTAGTGACAACGGGTGTCGATTTCACCTACTTCTTTGTCTGCGATGAGTAACGGGTCATTTCTGCTCTTTTAATTATTGTTTCATGAATCCTTGTATGACGCTGGAAACTGTGGCCTTTAACCGATAACAGGGTATCTCCAATAGAGTTAGCAAGGTAGGGAACATGAGCCATGTTTTCCTCTGTTCTAACCTTATCTAATAATTTGATTTCAGTGTGCTTTGATGAATAATTGATCTGGACATCTGTGTATTCATAAATGCTATGAATGTTGTTTTTTTTATTGCGAAAATGCACCTTTTGAAATAATCAATTAAGTTGAAACTACTTCTACTGTTTGCATGAAGCTATTTACCATAACTTTAGAGACATTCACGAGCAGGCAAACTTTTGGTGAATATTCATTAACAGCGGTCATAATCGAGGTCAAGATGTTTAATCTGATAATCACCGGAATTCTGCAAAATTCGGTGGTTATGGCATATTATTTCATCTTTTGATAAAAGTCTCTTAGCCAATCAGAAGGAATTTGAGTTTTTCATTTAGGATAGACATTTATTATTAAGCCTTAGCTACACGTGCTGTGTAGGGCATTCGTTTGAAATATTTGCGGACAATATCAGAATTGGGCACAGTTATTTTCAGCTTAGTAACACCTTCTCCTTTAGTATATCTTATACATATTCTCCCAGGCTGTGATACAGTTTTAATTTCATACATGTTGAAACGTCCTTAAATGACCTTAGCTATTGATAGGACGTTAAACCCCGATAACTAACAAACCATACACGTTGAAAAATATTGATTCGAGGAATAAATTCTACATATCTTATTGATGATATATATCTTAATTAGGTGAGCTCCATTTGTTGATACCAAAACTGGTATGCATATATATGTACATGCACAAAATTTAAATACACTATTTAATGATATCCTATACGAGAACAAATTAGCGCACACTGCAACTTAATTACCTTAAACAATTATTTCCAATGTTTGAGAAAATGATTATCAAGATTTTATTTATATTTTAATTTTTAGACTATACTATCATAGGGTGGCATGTGGAACATAAAATATTTCAATATATAATAATTATTTGTAATTATATTCCCCCCATCTTACCTCCGCCCCATCCCCTCCCAAATGAACAGCTAAAGCTTCAGCGATATGCCTCGGTGATTCGCCTTTTTCAGTCGGTGCTCTCCAAAGAGAAAGTTTAAAATAGCATCCGTGACGTCACATTCGTAAACCAAGATGGCCTACTGAGGGGCATGTTTTGTTTGTGGAAGGATTATGATTGTTGGTTTTCGGTGTATTCTGTTGTAAAAGAGGAATTTATATGAGCTGATTATAACTGTGTATGTACAAGGAATTATCCCGATTCTCCGATTTAAAGATCGTGGTCGAAATGGAGCTAGAATACCGGGAATCTCAGTCAACACACATCGGATTTTAGTGTACGAGCGTTTTACAGGCAGCCGGTGCAGATATATTCTGGTAGCCTAGCATCGTTCATCACTCACAGTTCATACTGCACTCTTAAGTAACCGTCTGGTGGTACGATGATATTCCATTAAATATATTCTCATTCCTGAGACAAATGTGTAGATAAAGAAATGATAATTACGATATTTTAATTTTATATTCATTGTTAGTAAACATCGATCTTGAATATTGCAGTGTTGGGGGCCTTGTAACGGAGCTTTGTGTGTTTGTAGGGCCTCGTGTTCTCGGCACTTCAAGCTCATAAACTACAATCGTAATTTTTGAATTGGCAAACAAAAGCGTTGTTTCTGTCCTAAGTCAATGCATTGTCTAAAACAGAATGTGTAAGAGTATGAATCGGTGTGTATTGGGCTAGGGCCTTGTGTATTGGAAGGCCTTGTGTATGCTGCACGGATAAGGCAGGTCTGCCGCTGCATTTTCAGTGCTTCGATGAAGAGTTCTAACTTTTTTTTGTGTGGAATTATTTTGACAATGTATTAGTGATGTGAAATAAACCAATTCATATTGGTTGAGTGGTGATTTATCAGCATCAGCATTCACAAATGCCAGTGTTGTGTTTAGTATAGCGATGTCTATGCTCAGGAAAGGGTTTCAGATCCGGATGCTGTCTCAGAAATATCCACTGTTATGTGTGGTAATTGTGATGTGTGTAATGTTTGGTGTCGAGGCCTGTCCCCCAGGCTGCACGTGCACCACCCTCAAAGCCAAGGATGACAAGAGTGGGGAGACCCCGAGGATCGGGCGGGGGCGCAAAGTCAACTGTGCAGAAAATCTGTCGCCCATCACATCTGCTGATCAGATCAGAAGTCTCCCGCTTGATACTGTCATAATGTAAGTATGAAATTGATGATGTTCTATATCAAAAACAAGGGAACAATACAGTTACAGTTCCATTTATAATAGGATTTTTATGTTTCATAACTTTAGTTGAATTCACATTTTTTTTAAATTTTAAAAAGTGTAATTTATATAAATTGTAAAACTTTACCATGCAATCATTATTCTTATATTAATATTTAAAGGATTACTTAGCAAAAGGAACCGTTTTGTTTTCCAAGTTCTTTCAAATAATTCACAAAAAAAATTCCATGGCATGTGCTTTTTTTTCTTTAAAAAAAAAGACATTTGTATGACTAATAGATACATCTAAAGAAGAAAAGTCAAGATCATGCAGTGCCCAGTAAATGTTAAAATAGGAAAATTTGTGACTAATCTGCATGTGTACACAAAAAACCAATTAAATTGCAAATAACAATAAAACAGTAACAAACAGGTACATGTCATGCAATGTAATTCATGCACCTGATGTACATGTAATTATGAATCCATGAACTGCAATTATAAACGTAATAAGAATGCACCACTTTTGATGTAACAATGATGCTTGCTCTGGCTGCCTCTCCCGGCCCCCCGCAATCACATACATGTTTGCAAGAAAGAAAAAAATATTTAAATTTTGGTATTTGCTACCACATTCACGTTCTGGTAGAAAAAAAACCCACTTGTTTTTTAATTTTGATATTTTGTCATTAAGTTTGGATTTATAAACATTTAAACATTTCATTGGGAATGGTGCCAGATTCCCTTATTGTTATTTTTTTATAGAAAAAGTCACTGAGAACTGTAGAAGTAATTGTTTTTCATGTGGATGTCATGAATCTCTGTTTCTAGTGATTATCATTGGGTTTCACTTCTATGCACGAGACATTTAATACAAAAAACATTATCTTGCTGTTTATGCCTGGTACTCATTATTTCTCAAACAATAAGTTTCCACATATTCCACCAAACAGAATTCACCAGAGCCAGTATCTGCAGGGAGTTTATAGCGCTGTGTGTTGGATGTGCTGTAAAGATTTAGTGGAGGAGGGGAGCAGGGTGAATAGTAGGGGGGTGGGGGGCACCATCCAGTCCAAGGCTGGGAATTAGAGATTCACACACACACACAGCCATAACTAACATCTGTAAACAAAACCCCAGGAGCTTTGCAATTTATGATTCACATCTTACAAAAATAAACTCAAGATTTCTGATATCTTTTTATAGATAAGGATTATATGTTTTTTTCATGGCTGTCGTTGAAATGCTGTGGAGCATGAACGGCTCCACAGTTTATGTGAAGAGATCATTAACCTTGGTATACATACCAATTTGTAAAATTGGGTTTCTACACCTAGATCTCACAGTCTAGCTAGTTCTCTTCTGGTAGATAGACCACTTGGTCTGTTAGGATTTCTGCTTTTTGTTGATCATCATGAATTGTTGATATCTTTGAATAATAAACCTAAAATGTATAGAGTTTACTGGCAGCTAAAAAAGTGTGAAATAGATCACCACCTACAGGTATACCTGGGTCCTGGTAGATCCTTAGAGTATGTTTTTGACTTCACAGAGTTTAGATACTTGCTTTTAAGAACATGTCAATATAGATTATATACTTGAAATGTTTTGACCCTCCAAATTTCAGAGAAAATGTTATTTAACTTCCGATATTGCTTAATCATAAATGTCAAGGGTTAACTGAAATCCAAGTGTGTATTTATGGCATTATAATGTTTGACAAGATTAAAGTTAAATTCCTTGAAGATAAATCCTTTTGCTTTATATGAGCATACATCATAATTTGGATTTTTTTTAATGAATATGAAAAAGTAACCTGATGTAGGACTAATTACACAATTTCAGTTGAACTGTTTTGCGTCACAGGATTATTTTTTCCTTTCATCGTAGATCAGTACTGTTAGAACTACAGGCTGATTTGACCGTAAAGGGATTATAAAAAATATGTTTATACTAGAAGCGTGGACATTCAATACATCCCCTTCAAATATACACGAAGGGAAAAAAATAAAAGCAGAATACACTATTATTATGATGCTTCATTTTAAAATATTGAAATAATTTATGAGGTTATCGATCACTTGGTGTTGGACGCGAGATCAACATGAAAGACATGCACACTAGGCTTAGCTATTTGGTAAAGAAACCCACCAGAACTGAAATGGAACGGAGCCTACAACTGAAACACTACATTTTTATTAATATGGAAAACCGCTGAGATGTCGAAACATAAGTTGATCGGCGATTCTCTGGCATCGGAATTAGCTACACGTTCCGACTTCGTCATTTGATTTCTGCAGGATTCGTCCATCATCCACTACGGAGGGAGCTGGACCTTCATGGGCCTGTTTACTCCAATAAATCAATCGTTAATTAATCGGCGTTATTTAACCAAGCTACCTTTGATTCTTAGTTTTCCAGTTTGATACCAATTACTTTCTTGTTTTTTTCCCCAATTTTTTTTTTCACATTTTTCAAATTTGTTTTTTTCAAATCTGATCCCAAAAAACGTACCTGCGCACTATATCCGAGTGCGCCCTATGCCCGCATATTTACGGTATGTGATGCAAGTCTGTTACCTGTGTATTTTCTTCTACATGTGAATGAAAATCTTGCTTTTGTACCATGTAATGTTATTTAAAAAAAGCAGTCTGTATATTTAGGTCTAGAACTCCCACAGTTGGAGGTTAGCGGGGATGTAACTGTATATTGTTGATGCTTCCCTGGGGTAGGGAGAGACAACCCCAGGTTACTGGTGAACACACACTGGTACCCCCTATAACCCAGCCTACACTATAGCTGTGCCATGTGGTGTCCTATTAAGGCACAGGAAATGAGGAATGTGGTCTAATTAATACTGAACTACAGGCCCTCTCCGTAACTTATACTACTGTAAGTATCGGCCCACAGGTACAGAGTACTGGTAATCTTGCTCCATGTGTTTTTTTACCTGAACAAGGGTTTTACCTTTTATCCTTGCACCTGTGCAGGTACATTATTGTATAGGTAGATACAGGAGTCAGCACTGAGCTTCCGGAATCTAATGGTTTTGGGTACATTTCAACTGATGTTCTTGTCCATATATGTAAAAAATATATCTGTTTATTAATATGATCATGCAATTCAAGTTGTCTGTCAGTTAATTCAGAGAACATTATTTTAATGTGGTTGACATCTACTTTATAATGAAAGGAATGTGTTTGTTGTAGGTGTTTTAATTCAAGTACCAGTGAGTTCTAAATAGCAAATTTGTATGCATTTCCAAAGGTGATACATTATCGATATATTAATATTTATAATAGGTCCACATATATGTAAGTACCTTAATAAATGGTTCACCATATATCACAAGCTATGGACTTGTTGTTTATTTCTTTTAAAGTGTGCAGATTTTAGGGGGGGGGGGCCTCACATGTTGCAAATTTTTAATTAATGGCAATATTACAACTGGAAAAAGACTTGGTCCAGAATGGGCATGACTTTAAAGTTTCACACAATTCACTTCTTTCGACGTGCATGCCGAGCTGTCACTGTCACTCGCCATGTTGGAACGGATATGAGTAGACTAAATTCAGAAATGACAAAATCTGGAAAAGTTCGTACAAAAGTAGAATCATGGTTACCTCCCAAAAACATATTGTGTATTGTACCGTATTCAAAGTATCGCGATATATTGTCGCACAATATATATTTTGCAGCCCTGATTGACATATATTATTTTGAACTTGAACTGTCTGGTATCAATACTATTATACCTTATGAGGAAAATTTGATTTTAAAGTACCATGCATGTATAATAACTATTATATCATTTTCTTGCAATGTAGACAATAAAAGTTTGGGTTATTTAAGCCTCATGCTATTATTGCATATAATGTGATAAAAGGTGACCATTTACTGACAATAAAGAAAATAAAACTAATTGGTTACAAAATGTCTTTATTATACTTTGATGAACTTCATCATTTGGACATTTGAATAAGCTGCAGGTTTAGACAGAAAAACTCATCACCTGTTAATATCATGTTTCTCTTAATATCATGTATTCCTCTAATAAATATGTGATATTAAGCAGAACTCACTACAGATTTGCATGTTTACATACATTAACTGTTATAGTTGATAATTCCAGAAATTCCTGAAACATCACACTCCAGTTACTTACAGCGTATTGTGGAAGTGTTATACCTTAATCACATTTTACCTGTGCAGGTGCAAGTTTGCATATCATATTAAAAAATATTCTGTTACTTTTATTTGAAAAAAGAGATCATTATGTAAATAGATACATGTATATATTTGAAAATAAGATTTATGTGTAAGTAATGCAACTGAACCAGCACATTTTATACTAAGGTGAGAACTAACGACTTGATCAGTTTCAGTATCTGATGGAGATGTTACCTAACCTCGTTACAGGTGTGTTTTAATGTACAGGTGTATTGTAGTATTACCAGTTACGAAGCTAAAAGGTAACGCATCAGATTGAAGGAAAATATTTTCATGTTAATTGATTATATGCATGAACATCATGAGCAACACTGCCATTGTTAAAAACCATAGCATTGTTAATGTGTGTTGTATACCTGTTGCTTTCTCACCTGCCCAGGTATACGTAGGTTTGGCAGGAGTTGTATATCGGCTAAGACGAGGTAACGTTACCACACTGTGAATGTGTGTGGCCTGTAATGTATAGCATTGTTAGAAGGCCAGAGTAATTAATCGTGGTGTCTGGATTGATGGCCGCATACTCTGTCACACACTAGGTGTAGCAATAACTAGGCATTCCATACTGAGTATTGCTCTAACTGGAACTGCAGGTTGACACAGAAATCGTTTATCTGTACTAAAAGAAACATTTTCCTTAGAATTAAAAAAAAGACTTGTTACAGTCCTGATAAGGCCCTTTTTCTTTTTGTCTGTTTAGGGTTGCAAAAATACAAGGGTAGGTAGGTCGATTTGTTTTTTGTTTTTTTTGTTTGTGTATTATTTCGTGTACCTCGTGGTCATTATGACCCTACTATTGTATGTAAAACACAGAATTACATAAACAAGGTTCATTTGGAGGCAAATTGTGCTCCATATGCTGACATTTAGCGCCAACACGGAGCTGGAAGCCATTTTGAAAGGCAAGGAACCTCGGGGCTCACCCTGGACCAAAATAATCAGTAGCCAAAAAAGCAGCCATGTTTGAATTTCAGTAGCCTATTTTTTTTAACAGTGGTCATACCTTCTCGGCCTCCAACAGTTACTGATAGGGCCTCCATTAAAATCATTAAATATTGAATAATTTTTGAAGTGCAATACTATTTAACCTTCTAAAATTCGAAAATCATCGTGTTTTTTTTTCATCAAAAGTTTTGGGTCGGGGGTACCCCGGTAAAAAGCTAGGGTCGGTCGGTAACCCTAAACAGACAAAAAAAAATTCTTTGGCTTAATCAAAATGCAGAAACCTGGTAATTTTATAAAATATTCAGGAAAATAATTAAATACTTAAATAATTAAGCTATTATGTACTGTATGTTTTACTTATTTAGCACAAATAGGAATTATACAGGGACCATGTAAAAATTTTACTTGACCAAAATCAGAGGCAATTGCAACCACTTATCAGACATGGAAAAGTGCTAAACAGTCTTGTCCTGAGAAAGTATGTAGATATGAATGCAAGCAAGCAAAGTCAATTAAAATGAATTTTCATGATAAAATTTAGTACATTTTTGATGCCTGTCTGTCCTGGACGAGTACGTTGGAAATGATCTTAATACATTTCTTTTGTTGATTTAATGTTTAAGTCTAAACGCAATTAAGTAATTATTCATAATTTAAAATGATAAATTCTTGTATGAGCAGTTTTGAGCACACAACATTGTGTATTCATTATTACACTGGTAAACAGGAGGTAGTTGTTTGTATAACGTGTCAACACTTTCCATCATACGTAATTATCTGTTTCTAGGAGGTCCATAACTCGCCTTCCATTGTGTACCAGACATTTATAGCCGAAATGTGTACTTAATCAAGTTTTCTGCGGGCCAGGGTGAGGCGGGGATGACTTTGTATGTTTAATAAACAATGCTTTCTCTAATATTTAATATGGCATACATGAAATTTTTACTCACTGCGTTAATTACGCATTCTTAATTAAAGTTTTCTGTGGGCCATGTTGGTATCAAAGTTTAAGTAGAGTTGATCATGAGATACTGGCTGATTATGATTAAATTAATATTGCGTGCTTCATCATTCTCTAATTTAGTATGTACATACAATTTATATTTGGCCAGGAATTAATGATCATTTCATCAAATTTTGTCCTTCCCATGATAAATTTAATAGTGTAGTTAATTTGATGTGATGTAATTAAATGTTCCTTCTCATGTAGTATACACTGTTGATGGAGTTTTCAAAAACATTACATTGAGCAGAAATTTGGAAACTCCATTCTGTTGGAAATATTTAAAAGGTTGCTAGTAAATATAAATTTGTATACATGAAATTGGAGTATATATACATGTTAAACACTTGGAAGCTGAATGTTGTTTTACAAACTGGGAATGTAGTTAACAGATTTAGAGGTACTACATGTAGTAGGTTAAAATTTAAATTGAAGACAATTCATCAAATTTAGATTGAAAGTCATATACCATTTAGGGATTGAACACCTTTTTTTCTATACTATATGTTTTAGGGGTGGAACAATATGGCCAAAAATGCAATCACATATTGCAATAGGACTTCAGCCTTGGAGTCCATGATATAGAGGATATATATATCTAACAGTGTCGTCAGTAATACCAAATAGGTTTCATGAGTGTGGCTAATATTTTGATATCTTTCACGAGTCAGGGTGGGCAGCCCGAGTGCAAGATATCACATACTAGCCACTCGAGTGAAATATATTTGGTATTACTGAAGACACTGTTAGATATTCTGTTTATTACATATTTTTCTTTAAGAAAACCTACCCTGGAACGCAAAACAACACATTAAGCTGACAATACTTGATCTGGATCTTTTAACGAATAGCATGTCTAGACAACCTTAGTCCTTTCTTCAAATATTTAAAAAAATGTAAGAACTTATAATTGCATATTGTTAAGCTAACCAGCCTTTGACCAGATGAGCAGCCTGTAATTTTTACCATTGTAGTCTGTAATCAGTGTTTTGATTGGTCAAATCAGAAAAATATCACTTTTATGGAATGAATAATTTCAATATTTCATTGGTTATAGAATGTAATAAAAAAGTACCCTTGTACATAAACATATGACATACATGTCAGTGTATTCATATAATGCTATATATGGTTGCATTTTTTAATTGTGAGCCTTTCATGTGTTACTTAAACATTTGAATTAAATTGATACAAAACAATATACTGCGTGTTGTCTTCTTTTTTTCCACAAAATTAATAGTAGTTGCTTCATAAATATTTATTTGTACATCTATGTATTGATCATTTGTTGTAATAACTTCATTCTGCATATTTCAAATATTTCATAAACAATAAACTAATAATTTAATACATTAACCAATTTCATTGTGTGACTTGAATAAAAAATGTTATGTTTTGAATTTTTCAGTGATCTGAGTAAAAACGCCATCACTGTTCTGAGACGGGCTTCATTTAACAGACTTTCCATGCTGCGTAAATTGTAAGTAAACATTTATCATCACCACTTGTTTGTTTCAGTCTAGCTTTTTTGTTGTCCTGAATTAGCATTTAGCATTGTACGCAAAACCACTTCCAGATCTACAAATGGATTACCACACCGAAAATCAATTTGTGTTTGTTTTCCTCCTTTGTCTCAGCAGAATTTCAAACGTATTTTTACCTGACCAAACACATTTTTACCAGACATTTGTTTGGTCATGTGTAGTTTGGCAAACAATCCTATCGGCTAGAGGAAATGTCGTGGTAAACCATCTAGTCGCTTGATACTGACTCGACTTCAGGAAATTTCCAATATCATCATGGTAAACCATCAAATTGTTTTTGTTACTGACTCAGCTAGAGGAAATGTCACAGTAAAGTTACATTGGTAAAGCATATGGACTAGTAGACTGAAGTCCTAGGTTCGATTCCTAGATATAGACGATGGTCATAGAAAAAGCGACCTTGGTTTAAATACAGTACTCATGCTGTTTGTTGGAAAATTAAATAAGTATCATTCCTGGAAGATATCTACACTTTTTGCTGTAATTACATTTCACCAAGGGACCATTACAGATTCTGGTGGATAGACTGTAAGTTTACAGTTTAACCTCTCCTAACTGAACCCTGTATAAATCAGACGTTATTGACTTTTTTAACTTTTTTTTGAACTTCTACAGGTGTATTCTGAGGAAAAATCTTCCCTTCATTGTTTAATCAAGTTTTACTTTCCTGTGCTCAGCCATATGATAACTTCGGGCATGATGTGTATACATTTTCCCCAGGGTACTGAACAAAATCGAGTCCACCCTAAACTTGTAACTTACAATGTAATTATGATTAAAGGAAATATAATGTACCATGCTACTTTTCTTTGGTGCACTCTGAGAATGTTAAGTGTATGTGTAATTGTGCGTTTCACAACAAAGGAAGTGTCATATTGACACCCAGAGAGAACCAGCTCGTTGGTGAACCTGACCAGGGTAGATTGTATGGGAGAAGTTAGAGCATTACACGCCGACTTCACCGGGACAATGCTGGGGCTATACAGGTGATAATGGGTCAGTGACGCCAGTATAAGCTACCATTGCTGTAGGGAATATAACGTAATTATGACTAATTATACAATAACGAAAAGGTGAGAACGTCTAAGTGGTAGTACAATTGTAAGTGGCTAGCTACCAATATCACTGAGGGCGTTATCGTACAGTACATATACTAGTGTGTGAAATGCACATTTGTACATCATACGTATATATATATGTAGTCAAATTGTAAGGGTTTAGTAGCTACTGGAAGTGGCTATATTAGACCAGAGTACACAATTAACTAAATGTCCTATTCTGATCTGGGTAAATAATTATGTAAGCATATCATCTGCTTTAGTTACATGTATTCATGCATGTGCTGTATGATCTTTGTCATTGATCCAATCCACCCAGCTGTGTTAGTGTGTAGTTACCAAACTCAGTCTGGTTTTATGGTAATCTATTGACTCTCATTGCTCCAATCCACCCAGCTGTATTCAGTAACTACCAGTCAGTGTTGTTTTTATGGCAATCTTGTGATACACAATTATTTGATTCGCCCATGCCAGCTGTGTGATTATTAAGCTCAGTCTATAGTTTTATGGCAATTCATTAGTTCTTTTTGCTCCAATCCATCCAGCTATGTAAAGTAGCTGTACTACCCATTGCTTCCATTCCACCCAGCTGTGTGGTTACCAAATTGCAAACACAGTTATATTTTATGAAATTCTGGTGATGCCCATTGATTACTCTAATCAACACAGCTGTATGAATAACTACCAAACTCTGTTATGTGTATGAGCACACCAACATGCCCTGTCTCCTGTTAATAGGATGTTAAACAAAATTATACCAAAACAATCCTATAATACCCATCACTGTAATCCACTCAGCTGTAATACCCATCACTGTAATCCACTCAGCTGTAATACCCATCACTGTAATCCACTCAGCTGTAATACCCATCACTGTAATCCACTCAGCTGTAATACCCATCACTGTAATCCACTCAGCTGTAATACCCATCACTGTAATCCACTCAGCTGTAATACCCATCACTGTAATCCACTCAGCTGTAATACCCATCACTGTAATCCACTCAGCTGTAATACCCATCACTGTAATCCACTCAGCTGTAATACCCATCACTGTAATCCACTCAGCTGTAATACCCATCACTGTAATCCACTCAGCTGTAATACCCATCACTGTAATCCACTCAGCTGTAATACCCATCACTGTAATCCACTCAGCTGTAATACCCATCACTGTAATCCACTCAGCTGTAATACCCATCACTGTAATCCACTCAGCTGTAATACCCATCACTGTAATCCACTCAGCTGTAATACCCACCACTGTAATCCACTCAGCTGTAATACCCACCACTGTAATCGACTCAGCTGTAATATCCATCACTGTAATCCACTCAGCTGTAATACCCATCACTGTAATCCACTCAGTTGTAATACCCACCACTGTAATCCACTCAGCTGTAATACCCATTACTGTAATCCACTCAGCTGTAATACCATCACTGTAATCCACTCAGCTGTAATACCCATCACTGTAATCCACTCAGCTGTAATATCCATCACTGTAATCCACTCACTTGTAATACCCACCACTGTAATCCACTCAGCTGTAATACCCATCACTGTAATCCACTCAGTTGTAATACCCACCACTGTAATCCACTCAGCTGTAATACCCATTACTGTAATCCACTCAGCTGTAATACCATCACTGTAATCCACTCAGCTGTAATACCCATCACTGTAATCCACTCGGCTGTAATACCCATCACTGTAATCCACTCAGCCGGCAGCTTTGGGGTTCATTCAATGAGAGAAATGTTTTTTTTTTTTTCTTTGTTATGTTTCATATGCCTGGGTTTCTGTTCCACAAGTTTTGTTTAACAAAGATAGTTAGGACTACATATTGTGTATCATGCAAGCCTGACCCTGTGCGCTAAACGTCAGTGCTATTCATTTCTCTGTGTTTCATTACAAGGATAATACTTTTATTGCTCGACTGCTTGAGATACACATATCGAGATAAACTAATATACAACACACATGTAGTTTATTTTTTCTCTGATGTAACGTTATCGCACACATGTATATTCATACTTCATAATAGCTGGCCATGGGCGGGTGTAACGGTAAATCAGGAACACGTTTGGTTGTACTAAGTTTGGGGAGGTGTTGTTAGATGGCTGGCCACGGACAGGTGTAACGGTAAATCAGGAACACGTTTGGTTGTACTATGTTTGGGGGGGTGTTGTTAGATGGCTGGCCATGGGCGGGTGTGACGGTAAATCAGGAACACGTTTGGTTGTACTATGTTTGGGGGGGTGTTGTTAGATGGCTGGCCATGGGCGGGTGTAACGGTAAATCAGGAACACGTTCGGTTGTACTATGTTTGGGGAGGTGTTGTTAGATGGCTGGCCATGGGGGGGTGTAACGATAAATCAGGAACACGTTTGGTTGTACTATGTTTGGGGAGGTGTTGTTAGATGGCTGGCCACGGGCGGGTGTAACGGTAAATCAGGAACACATTTGGTTGTACTAAGGTATGGGAGGTGTTGTTAGATTGGTTGTACTTAGTTTGGGGAGGTGTTGTTAGATGGCTGGCCATGGGCGGGTGTAACGATAAATCAGGAACACGTTTGGTTGTACTATGTTTGGGGAGGAGTTGTTAGATGGCTGGCCACGGGCGGGTGTAACGGTAAATCAGGAACACGTTTGGTTGTACTATATTTGGGGTGGTGTTGTTAGATGGCTGGCCATGGGGGGGGGTAACGATAAATCAGGAACACGTTTGGTTGTACTATATTTGGGGAGGTGTTGTTAGATGGCTGGCCATGGGCGGGTGTAACGGTAAATCAGGAACTCATTTGATTGTACTAAGGTATGGGAGGTGTTGTCAGATTGGTTGTACTAAGGTTGGGGAGGAGTTGCGGAGATAAAAGAGGACTGTGTTGTTAGATGGCTGGCCACGGGCGGGTGTAACGGTAAATCAGGAACCCGTTTGGTTGTACTATATTTGGGGAGGTGTTGTTAGATGGCTGGCCATGGGCGGGTGTAACGGTAAATCAGGAACTCATTTGATTGTACTAAGGTATGGGAGGTGTTGTCAGATTGGTTGTACTAAGGTTGGGGAGGTGTTGTTAGATTGGTTGTACGAAGGTATGGGAGGTGTTGTTAGATTGGCTGTACTAAGGTTGGGGAGGTGTTGTTAGATTGGTTGTACTAAGGTTGGGGAGGAGTTGGTAGATTGGTTGTACTAAGGTACGGCAGGTGTTGTTCGATTGGTTGTACTAAGGTTGGGGAAGTGTTGTTAGATTGGTTGTACTTAGGTATGGGAGGTGTTGTTAGATTGGTTGTGCTGATGTAAGGGAGGTGTTGTTAGATTGGTTGTACTTAGGTATGGGAGGTGTTGTTAGATTGGTTGTGCTGAAGCTGGGGAGGAGGTGTTAGATTGGTTGTACGAAGGTTTGGGAGGTGTTGTTAGTTTGGCTGTACTAAGGTTGGGGAGGAGGTGTTAGATTGGTTGTACGAAGGTTTGGGAGGTGTTGTTAGTTTGGCTGTACTAAGGTTGGGGAGGTGGTGTTAGATTGGCTGTACTAAGGTTGGGGAGGTGGTGTTAGATTGGCTGTACTAAGGTATGGGAAGTGTTGTTAGATTGGTTGTACTTAGGTATGGGAGGTGTTGTTAGATTAGTTGTACTAAGGTTGGGGAGGACTTGTTAGATTGGTTGTACTAAGTATTGGGAGGTGTTGTTAGATTGGCTGTACTAAGGTTGGGGAGGAGTTGTTAGATTGGCTGTACTAAAGTTGGGGAGGTGTTGTTAGATTAGTTGTACTAAGGTTGGGGAGGAGGTGTTAGGTTGGTTGTACTAAGGTATGGGGGGTGTTGTTGGATTGGTTGTACTAAGGTTGGGGAGGAGGTGTTAGATTGGTTGTACGAAG